TACAGGAGGTCAGACCCTTTTAAATTTTGATTCCTGGCCCCATCTGTTGTTGTTTTTTTTTCTTTTTCCTTCCCATTCCATTTGATACTCTTGTCTCTCGTCGGACCCAACCAAGGTTTTCAAAGGTAGCTTCTGCCTTGCCTCTCCCAGTCTCTGCCTCTGACTCAGTTTGTCTGAGTCTTTCACCAAATCCTAAAGTGCCAGGGTCTTCCCAGCCTGGGCTGGCACTGCTTGGGCCAGGCCTTAGCACCAAAGGGTTAAATCAGAGGCAGAGTGTGGGGACTCAGGCCAGGACTAGACTTCATGATGGAGAGGCAGGAGCTAGAACCTTCCCTGGCTGCAGGGGGAGCAACCGTGGCTCTGAGCCCCAACTCTCCACTCTGTAAGCACACACAAGCCCTGTGAGAAGAGGTTTCATAAGCGTGAAGGGCAGAGCAGAGGCCAAAAGGGACCATTGTGGATGATCTAGAGCAAAGCAGAGGCACAGTAGTCCAGGCCAAGGGGTGGCATCAGGGACACCGAGGGCTGAAACTAGAGGCCCATAGACACCGGCCGCATGAAACTATTTGTGGTCAGTTTGTGTGTGTGACCAACATAGGCCAAGTCAGAATGCTCGTTGCATGTGGACTGGGGAGAGCTACAAGAGTGGACAAGGCCTTAGTCCTAGAAGTCCAAGAAGTCCAAGACAGAGACTCTGCCAGGGCCTTCGGTGAAGGGCCAGGTGCTGAGGCTGGGCCAGTGTCCGAGCCAGACAAGCAGCCCTGAGACGGAGTGTTATTACAACTGTCCGCCACTGTTGTGCGAGCTCACTCGTACATAGTGCACTCTGTGCCCTGAACTTCTCCATCATTCCTCTAGGAGCTGGATGTTTACTCATCCCTACAATGGGATGTTAAAGATGAGGAAACAGGCTCAGAGAGTTGGAGTAAAACTCCTGATCTCCTCCACGACTGGCAGCCTGACCCTCACATTTGTCAGTCAGTAAATGGTGGGACCATTTACACCATGGAAATCGGCAGGTGCCACTAATCAGGGTTTTTCCATTTTTTATTTATGTTTCTGAGAACCAGTTTACCGGCACATCATAAGACTCATTCTAGAGTCTCCATAGGCCTCATCTGTGTGGGGAAAGAAGAGCTATATTCACTGAGAAACAGGCAACACCTGACATATAAAATAATGTATGTGTACAAGACAAACAGCTAACGTTTTTAGTTTTTTGTTTGTTTTTTTTTTTAAGATTTTACTTATTTATTTGACAAGAGAGAGAGATCACAAATAGGCAGAGAGGCAGGCAGAGAGAGAGGGGGAAGCAGGCTCCCACTGAGCAGAGAGCCTGATGCGGGGCTTGATCCGAGGACCCTGAGATCATGACCTGAGCCAAAGGCAGAAGCTTAATCCACTGAGCCACCCAGGCACTCCAGGGTTGTTTTTTTGTTTTTTTGTTTTTTAAGATTTTATTTGAGAAAGCATATGTGCATGATCGAGGAGGTGGGCGGGGGGGGGGGGGGGGGGCTGACTTCCAGCAGAGCAGGGATCCCAGGGCCCTGGGATCATGACCTGAGCCAAAGGCAGACGCTTACTGACTGAGCCCCCCAAGCATCCCTCACTTAAGATCCTTAAGAATCCTTTGATGTCAGGGGCGCCTGGGTGGCTCAGTGGGTTAAAGCCTCTGCCTTCGGCTCAGGTCATGATCCCGGGGTCCTGGGATCGAGCCCCACATCGGGCTCTCTGCTCAGTGGGGAGCCTGCTTCCTCCTTTCTCTCTGCCTGCCTCTCCGCCTACTTGTGATCTCTGTCAGATAAATAAATAAAATCTTTAAAAAAAAAAAAAAGAATCCTTTGATGTCTAGATGATTTTTTCCATTTCACAGGTAAGGAAGCTGAGGCATAGAGAATCCAAGTATCTTATGCAAGACTGGGCAGCCACTGGGGGAATCCTTCGTTCATACTCAGGCTACCCAATCCCACAGCCTGTGCTTTTTGGTTTTTAATGAGCCATTTATTCATACTCAGTCTCTAACCTGCTTTTAATTGATCTTTCGAAGAAATACATCTTGAATCTATCTGCCAGGTGTCAGATCGAGTATAGGTATGGGAAACAGGAGGGTCCGTGCCAGAAGCTGCACACTTCGTGGTTTAAATAAAGCCTGGGCCTGGGGTTGAGGCAAACTGAGCTGGAAGCCTGGTTCTGCCACTTACCAACTGTGTGACCTTGAACAATGACTCAGTCCCTCCAAGTCCCAATCTCCGCATGTGTAGGAGGAGGAGGAGCACTGTGTTTAGTTGATGGGGTTACAGCGAGAGATGAAGGATGGAGAATGTGCCTAGCAGTTGGCATGGTCTCCAGCACACAGCGAGCACTCAATCCGGGGGGTGGCGGAGGGGGGGGTTGCGTGGGAATCCCAGTCCACAGGTTTGTGTACAGATGTTCCATGGGAGCTGGGGATACAGGCATCAATAGATCATTTCTGAACAGAGAGGTGAGAAAGGAAGAGGGGACATTGGAACAAGAGCTTAAAAGGGTCTTCAAGAGTTCTCCATGCTGGGAAGGGGAAAGGGGGCTTTTCCAGTGGAGGGAAAATTACATTCCAAGGTGTTACAGGTAGGAGTGGACATTAACCGAATGGAGATAGCAGTAGACCCTCACAAGAGATGTGATCGTGCCTTCACGTTTGTGAGGGTCTGTTTTCTCCTTGTACACTGGACTCTGTACCTGGGTCTCAGGAGGTGTTGAGAGAGGGATCGGAATGAGTGTTTTCAGAGTGTTGGAACACAGGGTTGAACCAGATGACATATGAACGCTGAAATCCTGCTCTTGGATTGATCTTTCTGGGGGCTTACCATACAAATAGGACTATCCGCAACAGATACTAATCATCAGAAGTGAACATGGCCTCTGTCAGTGACTGGCTAGGGTGGGATCCTCTCCATGGACCAAAGCCTTGGCTCCCTGCTGCTGGGAGCGCCCTCTGCTGGTTCCCTGCCCCTCCACCACCACCCGCCCCCCCCCCGCCTCATTAAATCCATCCACAGCCCTGAAGTTGAGGCTTGACCTTAAGGAAAAGGCCCTTAAAATTCATTAAGTTCAAGTCCCTTGATTTTAGCTGGTGCTACTGAGATTCAGACTAGAGGAAAGGACCGGCCCGAATTCACAGGGTGGCCTTGGACAAGAGTCCTGGGCTGCTGGCCAGAGAGTATGTTTGTTGCTCCGGGATTGGAACGCAGCTGCCATCATAGACACCCCCACCCAAACCAGTGTCCCAAGGAGGACACTCTGGGCTGATTACTCACGTGGAGGAACCTGAGACCATCGTCCAGGGCAGGATTTCCAGTCATTCCTGGCCTGGGGAGGGCACAAAAAGCAAATGGCCCTACAGCAAGGAGCTCCTTTGAGGTCCTGGGCAGGAAGACAGGCATGCCAGAGTCCACCTCTGGCTCCTTCACTCATCTGCCCACTGCGGGAGCCTGGCAGAGTCTCTTCACCCCCAAGCCTTAGTTTCTTCATCTGTGAAATGGGATGCAGCCTAATAGACCTACAGTGAGGAATTTTTAAAAAGAACTATTACAGCACAGCTGCTGTAGTCTGCTGATTCCTTCATGTTCACTCTCTTCCTACCTTCAGAGCACTGTTTTCAACCATGGTGGAAAGCCAGAAGAGAAGAGAGCTTAGGAACATGGGCAGTGAGGGGCAGATCTGTCATTACTAGCTGTATGGCCTGGGGCAGGTCACTTCACGTTTCTGAATCTCCATCTTTTCATCTAGAAACCACAGGAAATTAAACTATGTTCTTCCTAGGGCTGTTTGAAGAATGAAGGTCTGTTTCACCTTGGGAGAGAGGGGAAGGAGATGGAAAACAAGACATAAGAGTATCACAAATGAGCATCTCCATCAGCGTCCCTGTCCCACATCGTGTTCCCTTTTTCACTCTCCCCTTGTCAGACTGAATTTCTTCCCATCTCTTGAACGTGCCCTGCTTTCTCTTAACTCCAGGCCCATTCACATGCCCTCCTTCTGCCTGGAAGGGCCCACCTGCCCCTGTCTTTCCGTAGCTGCTGACCCCAGCTCCTCTTTCACGCCACACCATAGATTCCTTCCCTGGAAGTTTCCTGACTTCTCTGCCTCATTAGGGACCTCACTGGTGTCCCCACAGTACCCTGAGCGTCTCCATCAGACTGGCCTTTTGCTGTCCTGCATTCATTCCCCCACAAGGCCGTGAACTAGAGTTCATATGGTGGCCTGCACATAGGAGCTGTTCAGTAAACACTAGTCGAGCAAACGAACGTTCCAATCCTGGATCTGATTCACATGGAAAATGGGAAACTTTGTGTGGCATGAGCCCCTCTGCAGACTGGGCCTCTCCAGGATCTTTCCACCTTCTCTTCCACTGGGTTTCTGCCACACCCATGCCCTGGTTTCCCACCAACGGAGCAGGATGGAGAAGTCATCATTTATCTGGGCACATCCCAAGCGGGGAACACTCAGACCCTGTGTTTGGGAACCCGAACACTCCAAGTTTGCAGTCTGCTTTGACATGAGGACAGATGGCCGGACAGTGGACAGCTGGGCAGGGAGGGTAGGCAGCTTGGCAAGATGGAAATAGCAGTGAACTAAGCATTGGGAGCTTGGGGCTCAGAGCCTGTCTGTTCCCCAGCTTCGCTGCGCACATCATCCTGAGTTCTCTGGTAACCAGCAACAGAAACTGACTGAGTCATTCAGGCAGAAAGGTCTAACACGGAATAACACAGGATAGACCTCTGGTCTCGGGCCTTCCGTGTGGCAGCGGACAAGCAGGGCACCTGGGGAAAAAGAGAATTAACTCCCCAAGGAAATTTGGATTTTCATTAACTATCTGAAAACCGCTGTCCATGCTGTGTGATGTGAGGCAAGGCACCTGACCTCTCTTTCCTGAGTCCCCCATCTGAGTGTTCTAAAGTTGGCCTCTCTCCATTCGCATCTCCAGTGTGCTTTTTGCTGAGAAGCTTCCGGCCCTGGCCCCCGATGGCGCCTTTCCCCATCTGGACACTTTGGGAATGAATTATGAAGAAGCCAGGTGAGTGGTGTGTGTGGGTGTCCCTGCCGCTCACCGCATTGAGGAGGGCAAGCCCTCTCCCTGTGCATGTGTGGGGACACATGACTCATTTGCATGAAGTAGTCAGCTTCATCCTTTGTCTTCCATGAAACCAGCATGTCCTTGGCCCCTGCCTGCTGAACACGCGGGTGAAAATCGAGACCACATTATGGGCCTCTTTCTGGTCATGGCCTGGCCATCTTATCCAGGCTGGGAGGTTCCCAGCTAGAGTCTGTCCTCCCATAGCCCCCCAGAGCCACGACCTCTAAGACCCTGAGACTTGACCTCTAACGTGTACAACAGCAGGCTTACGTCCTGAACAGTTGGGATGCCGAGGTGGCTGTGGGGGCAGGGATGCTCTCAAGGGACTGGAAACCTGATGGGGGAGGCAGTTGTCTAAACAGCCTAACTACAGCAACAGAACAAAGCAAGAGGCAGAGAGAAGTAGTGAGCCAGGAGTGTGGGGAGCCCGGGGTTGGGAGAGCTTGGTTCTCCCCAGGAGATCACGGAGGGCTCCATGGAAGAGGAAATGTTGAGGATGAGTAAGATCTGGCAGGAGGGAGAAAGGAAATTTCAGGTTGAGGTAGCAGCATGAACAAGACCTAGAAATAGAGGAGCATACATGTTTGATTAAGGGAATAGTGATGTTTGGTAGGGCAGAAGGAGCTCCATGGTGACAGTGGGGAGATGTCTCAGGGGCTCAGAGCCCCAGGAGTGTGAAGCCCAAGGTAGAGGACATGTCAGCCTGGGGTTGGGTCAGGAGGTTGCTGGGGGCTCAGGCTCACACCCAGAAATAAGGCTTCAGCATCCTAGCCCCTCCTAGCCCCTCCTAGCCCCTCACCTGCCCAGGAAGAGGGCACAGGCTCCTTGGCCTCCCTCCCAAAACCTTTAACCAATTCTCTATACTAGTCCTGGGCAAAACTGGCATCACCTCCTCACAGCACCCACCTGTCCCCCTCCCCAACCCTCCAGGGAGAGGTGAGGTGCTCCCAGCCTATCCCAGATGGGGCTCTGCTAGAATGCTGAGTCACCCAGCCTGCAGCCTGTACCTGTCCTCTGACACCCTCCCTCACCCAACACTAGCCATGAGTTCTGGAAAGATGAGGCAGACTGGTCCAGGCCCAGTGTCCAGCGACCAGCAATGGTGGAAAAGCTGCAGGGTCCACCTTACCTTCACACACACACACACACACACACACACACACACACGCATGCATGTCTGTGAACAAGTGATAGAGATGCCATTCAGGCTGCGAGGGGTCTGACCACCGTATTTGATAGATGAGGCTTCAGGGGCCCGGGGTGAGAAAAGATTACCCAGTCATGAGAATGCTGGGGGCAGAGTTTAAAGGAGAGGTTGGTTGGTTGCAGCTCTGTTCATAATAGCCAGAAGGTGGAAGCAACCTAGACATCCATGGCTTGATGAATGGATAAAACGTAGTCTATCCACCCAGCCAAGTGCTGTCGAGCCATAAAAAGGAATGGAGCACTGATGTGTGCTCCAACCCGGATGCACCTAGAAAACATGCTGAAGTGAAAGAAGCCAGACACAAAGACCACATGGCATATGATTCCGTTTCTATGAAATATCCAGAACTGGCTAATCTATGTGGACAGGAAGCAGATGAATGACTGCCAGAGGCTAGGGGAGGGGACAGTGAGCAGGGGCTCCCTCATGGGTCCAAGGCCTCCTTTTGGGTTAATAAAAGTGCTCTGGAACCTGAGAGTGGGAGCAGTGGTGCCACGTTGTGAATGTTTTGAATACCGTAAGATTTTGCACTCTCATGATGGTTAAAATAGTGGATTTTTCTCTTCGGTGAATTTTACCACAATTTAGGAAAAGGAGTAGTCTAGGGACCAGATCCCATGCCACTGGCCAGGTCTAGTGTCCATTCCTCAAACACATGCTACTGGCCTCCCCTTCCTATAATAGACCTCACCCACCCAGGCTACGGGTGAGGGGCCTGTGCCACCCTAGTTCAAGGCAAGCCCCATGGTCAAGTGGAAGAAAGCTACCCCACTGGGGAAGGCAGGATTCCTGGCAGTGAGGCCTAGCCCCCATCGCTTCCCACCCACTGACCAGCCTGCTCCCCCACTTGGCACCAAATATTCCATACATCTCGGATCTCTCCATTGTTCTCGCTGTCTGCCCTGTGAAGGAGGGTCTTTCCCTTGTGACCCCTTATCCATCTAGAAACATCCTTTAAGAACCAGCTTTTATCTTCCCCTTGCAGAAGACCCCCCCCATACCCTGCCCACTCACCACAATCTGAGCTGAGCACCCCAAGGTATTGCATGAAGACGTCGATTAAAGCAGGTGCGGGAGCAACCTTGTGTGTGTGCACGCGTATGTGTGTGCGTGTGGGCACGCAAATGTGTGTGTGCACACGCGCCTTCCTTAGACAACTGGGAGCCGTGCAGGGAGGGGCCTGGCTGGTTCGTCACTGTATTCCTAGGACAGCTCCGGGGCCTTGCTCACAAACGCTTGTTGAATGAGGCAGTGGCTTTGGGAGGGTTCTGTCCCCGCCCAGATAGTCTCCGTCAGTGAGGGAGGGACAGGCTGGGTGATCTCCAAGTCTTCTCATCTCTGGGGTTCTCTGGTTCTAAGAGCAGCAGTGAGGGGCCAGCCCAGCAAGTTGCTGCATTTTCTGCTCCCGTCGCCCAGCTCCTAGGAATCGAGGAGAAGGAGGGAGCCTGCAGGAGTCGTCTGCAAACAGCTATTTCTGCTCTTGGCGGGGAGGAGAGAGTGGTGTCCAGAGACTGGGCTTCTCCATCCAGCCTGAATGGACCATCTCTTCTCTTCGGAGATCTCATCAAAGACCTTCCCTGAACAGCCCAGCCATGCAGATTCGGGCTCGGGTTGCCTGGAGTCCTTCAACTACAAGGCCGAGCGGCGGGATCTTGCTCCATTTTCCTCTACAGATGAGAGGTGCTACTCTTTCTGCTTTTCTGATTATGAAATTAGTCATTTTCTAGGAAGCTTATTTATAGAGTCCACCGCACACATGCGGTGCTGAGCTATTCTGAACACGGCTTGGGGCCTGGGAGGCTTAAGGTGTGAAAGCAGCTGTGAGTCACACATGGGTCCCCTTCCAGAGGTATCTGGATACCTTGGTCACCTTTCTGCACCCAGCCAGGAGCCAGCCTTCATGGGCTGCCCTCCAGCCGGGCTGTTCTTTATGATAGAAAAAGCCCAGCGTCCCAGTCCCCATGGCCACCAGCTCAATATGGTGCCTGGAGCAGGGCAGACCTCCATTCTGTGCCTCTCCACCTTTCCTCTTCTCCTAAAAGAGGGGCCTTCCAGATATGTGATTCTGTGCCTGCCCCAGACAACAGCTGTGGAGGAGGGCTCCAGGGGGCTTCACAAAGACCTGCCCGCAGGGCAGCTCAGAGAGCGGCCATGTTTGAGGTTCCTGATGTTTCTTTCAAGAAGGTCAGGACAACATTAACGGATTGAATGAGTATTTATTTGTTTATTCATTTATTTAACACCTACTTTGAGCCAGGCACTGTGTAAGGCTTTGAAGGCACAGTGGTGAATAAAACAGAAATGGAGCTTGTAGTCTAATGTTAATCAAGCAATGGCATACATGAAAATGAAACTTCAAACTGTGTCCAGTGCTCTGAGTAAAAAGTACTAGGAAGTAGAGCTGGAGGGGCTCTCTAGGCAGAGAGAAAAGCATGTGCAGGGGCACTGTGGAGAAAAGAGCCTGTCCATTGCAGCTAGGGTGCTGAGCACAGAGGGAAAGGGGGTATGAAATAAGATTGGAGGGATATACCAGGTCAAATCATGCAAGACCTAGTAAAGCATGTTAAGGCATTTCTGTCTTTGTTCTAAGTGCAGTAGGATGCCACTTAAAGTATTTTGTACTTAAAGTATTTTTTTAAAGAAAGTTATTTGATAAACGGTGAGTTTTTGAAACCATCATCTCTAGCTCAGGCCTGTCCCATCCAGTTGTGCAAGTTGTAAACTGCACAACCTATGAAGCCATATGTGTTAGAACCAGATGGAGAATGTTTTAGGGGCCAGCCTGAGTGAATGCCAGAGAGCAGTTAAAAGACTGCCAGAATAATCTAGGCAGGAGAGGCTGGTGTGGACCAAGATGTAGGTGGTGGAAAGGGAGAAAAGTGGAAGGATTCAGGAGACATTTAAAGGGCCTTGAAGATAGCAGCCTTCTCTCTGCAAGAGCTGGGCTCCAGGGTTTGGGATCCTCAGAGCCCCTGCCAGTTGGCGTGAGGAAAAGATAAAATAATGCAATGCCAGTTGAGAGCAGAAGATGTCAGGATATAAAGAGTCACCCTTAACCCTGCTTGTCTATCCTTAATTGTTTCAGGTCTGCAGCTGGGCCTAACAGGGCCTCAGGACCAGTCTGAGAGGCAGGATGGCAGAAATAGTGGGTTGACCTACCCAATAGGTAGTTGACCTCTTAGACTTCGTGGAAGTATTACGCTGGCAGTGCTGTATTCAAGTTTCTTTGGGTTACTAATTTCAGAGATCAGATCCCACTGGCGTAAGCTAAAATGTTGGAATTTATTGGCAGGATCCTGGGACATCTCATGGTTTTGATAGACAGACTCAAGACTCAGGATGGGCAGGAATGAAGCAGTCCCAAGGACCATAGCAGCAGATATTTTTGGACTTTCTCTCCAGGACACTGTGGCTACCATGATTTAGAGCCAGCATCCACAGACTGCAGGCCCTCCAGAATGCATTTGAAAAGTATAGGGGAGAGGATCTGCTTGCCGTGGCCTGGTTGGTGTGTCTAGCCCTTGATCGGTCAGCTTGTGCCAGGAGTTAGAACATGAAGGGCAGGCAGGGCCACTGGAACCCACATTTGCACATCAGATCATTTCCAAAGTAGGGGAACCCCTGTGAGCTACCCAGTTTCTCCCACGGTGTGTCTATTCTGCTGACACTTCCTGGGTTCTGGCTGATCTCCAGCAACCTTTTTCCAGCTTTGTGGTAAAGGAGAAAAGCTAGACCCTGTTACAGTCCTGGAAGGTGCCCTGATTGTCTAGAAAGGGGGTTTTCTGATGTCAGAAAGAAATAGAACATTTAGAATACACACACACAAATATATATATATATATATATATATATATATATATATATATATACCCACATTTTCTAACTATTTCTGGAAAAGAGTTTTGCAGGCCACTTTCTACTGCCCGAAGCACAAGGTACTTGCAGGCCTCAAGGAGCTGGGCACAGACTGTGTGTGACCCAGACCTCTCTTCTTGCTCACCTATGATTCAAACCCTCCGGAAGTAGGAGGCAGAATAACACAACAATGAGCGCGCCTGGAGTCCTAGACTGTAATTTCATACCCAGCTCTGCCCTAATGAGCTGTGTGACCTTAGGCAAGTTACTTAACTCCTCTGAGCCTGTTGATTGATCCCTGATCCGTGGGGTCACTGTGAAGACTTAATGTGATAAAGTGTGTAAGTGCTTTGCACATAGTAAGCCCTCCCTCCATGGCAGAGGGGATGATGGTGATGACAGGGTGGTTATTGCATGGGGAAAACCCTTGCAGGATCCTGCTCCTGCCTCTGCAACTTGACCTTCCTGTAGGTTGGTCCTTCTCCTCGCCCCCTCCCCCCACCATGGGGTAGGGTTATTCCAAGGGACACAGTGTGAACAAGAAGACTTTTTATCCTTCTTCAGCGTTCTTCCTTGATCCCTGCTGCCCAGTGTCATCTGGCATTTTTCATCTGCAGGAGCGAGAGAGAGAAGCCCCCAGCCGATGACTCCGAGGGAGGGGCCCTGGACATGTGCTGCAGCGAGAGGCTGCCGGGTGAGTCTGCCGGGCACCCAGGGTCCCCAGAGTTCCCCGTGCACAGAGAGAGCCCAGATGGCGCCAGCCGAAGTCGAGCCCGCTTAGCTGTGAACTTGCTCCGGAGGGGTGACTTGGCTGCTCACAGGGTCTCCATTTAAATGAGGATTTGTTTTTCTAATCCGTGATGTCTTTCATCATCTTTCATGACCTGTTGTCATTTGAAGCTGCTCTGGGCTCCCACGGAGGGAAGAGCGGGCAGCTGGGGGCGTGCTGGGAGGGTAGAGAGAGGGTTGAGGAGCTGGGGAATCCGGTGATGCTGGGGCCCTGGCCGCCACCAGCAGTGTGTTGGGCAGACTTCAAGAGGTAAGGCAGAAAAAAAAAAAAAGGAGGTAAGGCAAGGGGACATGGACAACCCGAATGTGGCATGAACCAAGGGTGGGTGGGCGATGAGGAGAAAGTGCCTGGCCTTTTGAAAACCTGGGCTGTGAGGGTCTGATGGGACTGCTTGAGGCTGATTGGTCGCACTCATGGGGAGCCTGGCTGGCTGTCAGTCACCACAGAGATGTTACCGTTCTGCCCCTGCCCCTGGGGTGGCAGCGTGTCCCAGCTGTAGACCAGGTACCCTGCTCATGGAGGAATAAAGGAAAGGAGGCTAGGAGACGTTTTTAGTATTCATTCTCTTTTCATAAAACTTTTTTTCTTATAACAAATATTCACTGCAGAACGATAGATATAAGACAAGTGAAAAAAATTGCCGTGATCCCATGACACAATATTCCTTTCCCTCTTCCCTTCCAATCCTTTTGGTTCAGAAACAGCCTTCTGAATGCTGACTTTAAAGTCCCAAGGTTAGCTTGTCAGAAACCTCATGACTGGCAAGGAAGCTTCTAGTGGCGTTTTCAGTGACACTCTTTAAGACAGACATTGAAAACAAGTAGGTGTGACTCTAAAGCGATGACTCTTTAAAATAAGTGGTTGTGTTGCTCCCACCGTGAGCCAGGGCTCCAGCTGCTGATGAAGCTTCCTCCAGCCTCCAGGTAGGGATGGAGCCCTTCGGTGCAGTTCACGCCGTATCCAGTAGGGGGTACCATTGCTCAAAAACGCTTTGGAAGGCCTGTCTAGCTGGTCTAGGATGGGTGTCATCTTTCAGGTGCCTGGTGGGGACGGGGAAACAGCTAGCTTCAAGAACAGAATTCTCCAAAGGGATGTGAGAGCGGTCTGTGAATACATGAAAGGCTGTCCTGTGGAGAGGGCAGCAGATTTGTCCTGTGTCTCTTAAGAGTCTGGCATAAACCTGATACATAGAAATTAAAAAGAGGACTGTTGGCGCGAGGGATCCAGCACTTACTTTCTTTCTTTTTTTAAGATTTTGTTTGTTTATTTATTTATATCTTTTTTTCCCTTTGGTTGGCTTGGACGCAACCACTTATTTTGACATAGAGAGAGGGAGCATGAACGGGGTGCGGGGAGCAGACTCCCACTTAGCAGGGAGCCCGACAAACGCAGGGGCTCCACCCCAAGACCTTGGGATCATGCCCTGAGCCAAAGGCAGATGCTTAACTGACTGAGCCACCCAGGAGCCCCCGAAACCTTCTTTCTGAATCTGAAAGTGGTCCAGTCATGGAACTGGATAATTCAAGAGGAAGAAAAGAAGTGTTCCATCACTGGAGGCATTCAAATATTATCTGGATAGACAGTAGAGAGGAAATTTCCACAATGGGTGGGAGGTCAAGATGACATCAAAAGTCCCTTTCAACTATTAAACGTTCCGTGATTCAGATATGAGTCATAGAATTCAGAGATGATTCTATGACCGGGGATGGCCCAGTGGCTAGAAAAAACCCACGGGAAATAGGACATGATGTATAGGAGTGCGGGGAGTAGCACAGTGTGAAGGAAAGAGCACTGGCTTTGGCATCGGAGTCTGGCTTATAGGCTCTGTGTTTATGGACAGGTCGCTTACCCCTGCTGGGCCTCTAATCCTTATCTGTAAATGGAAACAACAGCAATATGAGTATTTATCCTTACAAGGATTGGATATAATTACAAAGACATTCATTCCACAAACACTTTTTGAGTCCCCACTACATATTGGGTATTATACTAGGTGCTAGGAATCTAGTGGTAAATAAAACAGATGTCCTCCCTGCCCTGCTTTGAGCTGCTTCTGAAAAAATGGCATGGAACCACAAGGAGAGAGACTACAGTAATAATAGATGAAATTTCAACCCTCCCTGAAAACCAGCAACCAGCTTAGAATGGAAGAGGAATATTGGTTATCTCCAGTGGGGGGCAAACACGTTGCCTTCGTTGTGCTTGGCACTGTTCTGAATACTCACATGTACATCTCACAGACTCCTGTTGAGATCATTTCCGGTCCCCATCTTCTAAATGAGAGGACTGAGGCCCAGGGATGTGAGGGAGTCTGTCCAAGGTCACTTCACTGGTGTTTGGTAGAGTGAGGACTCAGTCCATGCCGTCTCTTTCCAGAGCCCATGCTCCTGGTCACTTCCCCATTCTGCCTCCATTGTCGCCATGGAGCCACCATCAGTTTCTGGCACTGTGTGAACAGAGACAAGAAGCGCTAAGGTGTGTCTGCCCCAGGGAGGAGTCTGGAGGAGATGGGCAATGTCACCCTGCCTGTCTCCATCTGTGTCCTTCCTCCGAAAAGCCCTGCCTGCTAGAGGTTAGGCAAGTTAGACGCCCCACTGGACTCCCATGTACGATGCCATTGCAATGTGATCTTGTAATCATGTTTTGTCTGTTTCATCCGTGGGACTGCGAGTTCTTTGAAAGCAAGTGCCTATTTTGTCCTGCATATCCAGGGGAGTCTTTCACTCATTTCTTCACTCCCTGGATGACTGTTCATGGAGGGAATCCCCACGCAGGACACTTGTGCAAGCACTGAAGATTCAGCAGTGAACCGAACTGAGAAAATGTCCACCCTCACAGGGCAGTGTGGTGCACTGATAAAGAGCAGGGACTCTGGACCTGGGCTTGGTTCCATCATTTACCCCTGGGAGTGATCATGGGCAAGCGACTTAACCTTTCTGTGCCTCCCAGTTACAAGAGACAAGCATGAATACTATTTACAACCACGTAGAGTTGTTGGAGGAGCACATGGATGAATGGAAAGCTCAGAACGGTCCCTGGAGTTTGATCCTTGGGCATTTGCTTTGTAGAGAAAGCTAGATAATGAATAAATAAGTAAAATGTTTAGGATGGTAGTTGGGGTATGTGCTGTGGAGGAAATTAAAGCCGAGGAGGGATGAGAAAGGACTGGGGGGTGGTTTCGTATTGTAAATAGGGCGGTTTTAGAAGCTGGTAAGGACACTTCCATAAATTCTCAACAGGCAGAAACACCGATCTGAGGAGCAACTTAGACATAAAAGGGGGTATAAAGGCTGAGAGAATTGGGGAGCAGGACCTTTAGAATGAGCCCAAGGGCACTGCAAGCAGTTGCATAAGGATGGTGTAAAAATACAGCCATCAAGTCATGTCTTCCCCTCCCAGCTGTCTTCCCGCCAGGCGAGACGAGGTGGAGTGAGGGCTAGCCTTGTCTGAGTGACTCATGCATTCCCACACGCACTGCTGGGCAGGGGCGGCGTGGCCAGCACACCCGGCCGTGGTCACCTGGGCCTGAACCAGCACATCTAGTCGTGTAGACCTCCCAGCCTGAGATATCTGGGTGAAAACCACCTCCAGCAGCCAACAGCCCCCGGGGGGCCCTCCAACTCCAGGGGACAGGTGTGCTCACTCGTATCCCAGGGCGCCGCCCGCCTGAGCTCACACGCTCATCTCCATTCTCACTTGTCCCAGCCCCGTGCGCACATATGCACATGCACAGACCCACACACCTAGCTACCCAGGCACATGCCCTGTCTCTCTCTGCCTCATGCAGCCCCACGGGTGCACACCCACTTGAAGCCCATGCACCTGCGAGCCTCCTTCCGCTTGCGTGCTCTGCATCTCTTTGCTCTATGGTGCCATCTTCCAGGCGCATCCGCCTTCTCCATCATTCGGGCTTTAGGTCTCTTTCTCTTCCGCAGCCAGGCCCCTTCTCACGTACACATACACACCAGCGAGCACACTCCTTCCCTCCCATTCTCTATCCTTTCCCCAGGCCATCAGAAGCATGCAGTCTCCATGCACCCCAATCTGTGCTCACGCACAGATACATTTTCCTTCTTCCTCGTGCACTCGCCCTCGTGCACAGGGTCACTCTCCTTTTCTTCTCTTTCACTCCCCAGTGCTTGCTCATTTCCTTGCTCGCAGTCACCCAAACACATTTATACATTCAAACTCACACTCCCCCTGCCTCTGGGTGTAGGTGTTCATACTTGCAAGAAACCAGGCAACCCTGCTGATGCTGTGGCCTCCGCTCCCTCCCCAGCCAGCACCACTGCAGGCCCAGCCTGGAAGCAGCAGCTTTCTTTGGGGTACGGGTCAGAGGAAGGAGGTAGACAAGGCCCCAGGAGGTGCTGGGAATGGATGGCATGACGTCATCAGTGTCACTCCCACGGTCTCCAGTGGGCAGGCTCACAGGCTGGCCCACACCTAACGTGGGCAGGGACCAAGGCCAGGCTGCGAACGATGATGATGTGTCGTCATCATCGCATCGTCATGGCCCTGGTGACGTGCCACCCTCTGCTGAGTCCTGCACTGCGAGGGCCCTTGTGTGCATGCCTGCAGGCACGTCAGTCTGTGGGTCCACATGTGCTCCTCATCCCACCCCAGTTTCTGCCCCTTGGCACCCCTCAAATCTCAAGGTACCCCAGCAGAAGGCCGGGTCCACCCTCAGAAGGGTGTACCTGTACCCATGCAGGCTCTGGGACATTTGGGAAGGGAGCTCTAGAATCCCAGTCATCAGAGCGTGTCCTGAAAAGTAGAGCGTGGGCATAACTCCTGGTCCTGTGGACTCCTTGCCCCGGAGGGAGTCGCGTGGCCAGAGGAGAAGGAGCTTGGTGCTGGGGTAAGGACAACTCGAGTCTTAGGGACAGGTGCTCCTGCAGCATCCT